TTCTGCCATGCAAGATAAACGCTTGCCGGAAGAATCCCTGCATTAGATTGCCAGCCAAGACTATAAGACCCAGTCTGTCATGCTATTTAACCCATAGCTGGGTGGGGGAAAAATGGATTCATATCTTTCTCAAGGATATTTGCGCGTAACGAACTCGACTAGAGTCAAAATTAGTCTCTCTTATTTATCATTCCAAGACATTATCCATCATGTACCCTTCAATTCCATTTAAAATAATGCAATAAAATCAGTCTGATTATTAAAAAAAAAAATCCATTACTTCAGAAATTACTTTGTTTACGTTTGGATACGAAAATTTAAAGTGTCTCTGACGAGAAAGATTTCATTTAAAGGCACTATTCAGCCTTACTGGAACGAGAAACGTTATTCGTATTTCAGGCGGTTAGATCACGTTAAATCTAACGATGATTTCCTATGCCCGGTGGAGGGGGGGGACGCAGGTTCCAGTTCTGCCGAAGGGCGCATATTTTGCTTTAAAAAGTGAAAATAGGACCTTACTGAGCTGTGATTCTCTTTGTAATTGAGCGATAAAGCCTGCAGGCTGAAATGATGGCTTTCCTTACATAGGGGTTTGCAAATTCCATCCCTGTCAAAAACCGCATTTTTACATCGATTTCTCGAATGCGCAGGTCGATAGACGTAATACACATTATTTAAAACAAAAGTAGCTCGTCCATTTCAGATACATGTATTTCCTATAAAAACATTCGAAGTTGTATATATATATATATATATATATATATATATATATATATATATATATATATATATAATTTACAATATATAAATATATATCATCACAATATATAGAGATTTTTATTATTATAAATTTTATATACATATAGCGTTTATATTAATAATCTCTCTCTCTCTCTCTCTATCTATCTATCTATCTATATATATATATATATATATATATATATATATATATATATAGTAATTTGGACATTGCTAACCAGACGCTCCTCTGTAGCTAAATGGTATAGCACGTCAGATCAAATGACGGTTTCCGTATAATAATATAGGTGCTATTCCTGTTGGAGGAGGCATATTTTCTACGAAATTGCTCGAACATTCAGGCCGGTAAATGTAATTAACATTGTTTGATTTAAAAAAAAAAAAAGCAGCTCATTCACTTAAATGATTTGTATCTAATAATAACGTACAAACAGAAAATATATTAAATAATTTGAGAACTAATCCATTTCATTATATATATATATATATATATATATATATATATATATATATATATATATATATATATAAAGACAAGGGAAACACTATTCTTAGGCGACGCGTCATATGAGGGACTTTATGAAAGCAAATGTAGGATTTATTTTTTTTTGCACATGTTATATACAAAAGTAAGGATACCATTGGTTTATCAAGACTTTAATTTTAAACAATTGAGAATGTTCATGAATATTCATCAGGTTATTGAAACGTCAGTCAAACATATGGAACACACAAAATGCTATAATTTATAGTTTCGTGTGGCAAAAGTAATCGAGTAATATTCGGGATATTTTTTAAAATAAATAAATATTGTTTAAATTTGTGATCAGATTGTTATGGTTTGGGACAGGCGTATGTGCTGTACATCTTCAAAAAACATGAGGTAATGGATTTAACCGTTTTCTTTTGATTTTTCAACATATTGGTGATAGTGTATGTTCACTTGGGAAAGTAATAACTCTGACAGTAAAGGTGAGACTGAAAAGAAACTGGGGCGTAGATTTATATTTTGATAAGATTCGATAGCGACACTCTCGAGAATTTTCCTTCTGAGTAATAGTTTTTCCTCTTGTCTGTTTATTCATTTTGTTCCTTCACAGATACACTCTATCTGAAAATAACACACACACACACACACACACACACACACACACACACACACACACACACATATATATATATATATATATATATATATATATATTTATTTATAAATGTGTGTGTGCGCGCGCTTTTCTGTGTGGGTGTTTAGTGTAAATGCGTGCGCGCGATAAGATTCTCAAGCTATCGGCCTGTAAAATGGAAACAGCAGTTCGATTTTCAGGATCTTTCCCAGCTTTTGCACTATTTTCGCATTGCGCTATTGCACTTGGGGAATGCATGAATTTATCTCCCCGCTCCCCTTCATCTCCAAGACCATCTATAAATAAAATAATAGATCAAACACGCTTCTTTGACCTTAGTAGAAGCAGGAAAACAGGGAATTCAATCCACCCCCACTGAAGTAAACATCATAGGCTCGGATGGCAGGGTCCATGAATCGCCATATTTAACAGACCTTGGAGAGCGTCTGAGTTCTGATGATGACCGAACATATGGCTAATAAATTATTATATATATATATATATATATATATATATATATATATATATATATATATATATATATATATATATATATATTCATAAATGAAATGTTTTCGAACCAGCCCCAAATTTTGATTTGATCATTCAATCAGATTTCGTAAAGTTAATCTGGCTGAGAACTTTTCATCGCATAAGAAATGTCTTACAGAATGAATCTAGCAATTATCAGTCGACGACACACACACACACACACACACACACACACACACACACACACACATATATATATATATATATATATATATATATATATATATATATATACATACAGCGTAACTCTAAGTCTACCATTCATCCATGCTTAGAATATTGCTACCACATATGGTCCGGGGATTTTGTTATCTATGTAGAACCCGTTAATAAAATCCAAAGAATAATCAGCAATATTATTAGTCCTAATCTGGCAACTCAGCTACAGTCATTTTCAAACCGCTGTAAGGCTTCCCCCTTGCGCCTTTTCCATAAATATTTCATGGTAATTTTTCGCTTGTGAAAATGCCGTCCCATCCCATGCTTTCCAGCTAAGTTTAATCTGCAAAAATTTAAATGCAATGTCAATCGCTATATACTGTCCTCTTTTTGTTCTTGCTCATTAATAATGTTTCTGTTTCTAATTCTTCCACATCCAGTAATCCATTGGGTGTTAGTGGCTTTACTGCCTTGCATCGTGTGAACTTGATTGAAAAATATATATATCCAGTATATACTCGCGTATACTCATACAACATTTGAAGACCTAATTTTGCAGCTAATTTTAATGGGGTAGCATCATATACGAGATATAAAATTAGCTTATGTACTCCTGGCCCTCGCAACGCCGTTGACTAAACTATGTATGCATTTACTGTAGTCAAATTAGCTTAAAAATTAGGTCGCATGATAAACGAGTATATATATATATATATATATATATATATGCGTAGTGGACCAGGTCTCTGTATTCGGCTCTTTAAAAACTGTGGATGGTTCTGTACAAAACCTTCACTACTATAATCAAATCTCATGTGCTGACGTTGAACTGATCTGTTTGAACCTTATACGTCGAATTCGACGAGAGAGTCGAGTGTATATATATATATATATATATATATATATATATATATATATTTATATATATATATATATATATGTGTATTTCACTTGTATATTTTGGGGGGTAATTTTCTACAGTCAATTTTGTAAGCTCCTGCTTCAGGTTCAATGTTGTTATTGTTTTGTATTGATCTACTCTCTTATTGATTTTAAAGTAGTTGTGACAAATTTTTATTTTATCTTGAATTTAGACAATTTTTTTTTAATTATAGTCACCACTGAGTTGGTAGGTAGCATTTTAATTCATAGTTTTGTCTTCCATATTTCTGTTAATTTTTTGTTTTTGTGGATTTTAGAATATTTTCACGGTGAAGAAAAATACATTGAAAACACCATTAGAGTCCTCCAGTATTTTGATTATTTCATATACATTGCTAAGAGGAAAGCTTACAAAATCCACAACAAAACATAAATAATTGAAAGAATTTATTTAAGTTTAATATAAACATTTGAGACAATTACTTCAAAACTATTAAGACATTTGACATAAAACAAAATAGTTATCCCCAGATCAAGTTAACGGAACGAGAATAATCTACTTCGTAGATTAAATAAAGGATTCGGTTCAATTTTCCCTCAAGGTTACACAAATCGATAATGAAGACTGGTGGACAAACGGGCGAAGAGTTGTGATAATAACAACAAAGATGAAGAGAATAGTCCGCATGTAAATAATAACTCATCCCAGAAATTCGAACAAAAATAATAAAAAAAATTAATGATAATAATATGAAACTTGAAGCAGGAATGTACAAAATAGACGGCACAAAACTGAAATACATACGTGAAACATGTAAGAATTTAAATAAAATGTTATATGAATATATAATTGCTCGTAGGTTTTTGTGTATGTGTTATGCGCGCGTTAGAAGTGAGTGTGTGTGTTGGGTGTGTGTGTGTGCTTGTGTGTGCGTGTGAGACGTTTAGAAATTTGGATTGCACTTATAGTTTCCCGGAGTACATTGTACGGTAAGCCACATAGAATATATCATTTCATTGTCTGTTCAGAACCAGTCCAAACAATCAAAATGGAAATTTCAATAAAAAAGATTTTAAAAATCCTTACGCAGCGTAGTTGTTAGAGTTTGAATATATAATATATATATATATATATATGTGTGTGTGTGTGTGTGTGTGTGTGTGTGTGTGTGTGTCTGTATATATATATATATATATATATATATATATATATATAAATGTATATATATGTATGTATATATATATATATATATATATATATATATATATATATATATAAATCAACATTGCACCAATGAAAAGTTCATAGATAAAAAGAAAGAAAATCGAGAAATATAAACAGTCAATAGCCCTGACGAGTGGACGGAGTGATTACTGAGGGTCCGTCTATGAAACTCTGGTATCGGGATGCTGAAATTTACACCAATCAGCTAAGTGACAAACTTTTATATATATATATATATATATATATATATATATATATATATATATATATATCTATATAGTTTAAATTTTACCTATGTGTCACGGTTGGCTGTTTGTCCGAAGAAACTCTTGCCCGAACGTCCAATTTTTAGCATCCAAAGACAGAGGAAGTCCAAATGGGTTCAGTGGATATGATGAACTACCAACCAACGTGGGATTGACAGTAGCTGCAGCGGCAGCGGCTGCAGCTGCTGCCGTTGAATACTGAAAAAGAAGTGGAGTTAAATTGTTAAACGCGCTTCCGGTATGTGCGCCACTGGTTCCGATTTGTAGTCCAGGGTGAAGAGCTTGTGTTTGGCAAGCCCTGAGGGCTAACATCCGGTCGATAGGCGAACACATGGCCGAGGCAGGAGCGAATCCGAATCCCGCTGACGGGTGTTGCAAGGACAAGGGTAAACTCGGAGAAATTGTAAAGGCTGAGGATATGTCGTAAGGCGGTGCCCGGCCACTTACGGCGGCCAGATCCGCAGCGAGGCGTGAGGCAAACTTGGGAGATTTCGGCAGAGTTAAATCGATGACCTTCGGCGGAGGGCTGGGTATTTTATCGAAAATGTCCGATCTTTTTGCTGTCGTCGTTTCTCGGGTACACGAACTTGAACTCGCTGATGCAGCAGATTGAGTTGCATCGTTTTCCACCTCTTCTTGGCTTCTGGTCTTTTTCTTCTTATTGGTATTAACTGGCGCAATTTCTCGCCTCTCATCGGCACACCCGTTTTCGCTTACCACGCGTTCTTGCTTGAATGGCGAAGTCTCGCTGAGCTCGGGTCTCTGCTTCTGAAGTACGCAATCCGAAGAGACACCCTCCCCGGGATCTTCAGAGCAGTGATTTTCTGACGGGACGGTATGAGCGTCGTCTCTGTGGCAGCTAAGTTCATTACATTTTTGACATCCTGAACAGTCTACTTTCGCTTTCATTTTCTCATTCAGCGTTTCGTGATCGGAATCTCTACTCATGATGCTGTCGATGCTAAACTTTTTGAAGATCTTATTTTCTCGTGAGACACAAGCGTCTCCATTGCAACTTCCGGCTACCGTTTCGGCTCGTCCGGCTGCAATCGAACTTGCTGCACATATAGGTGCGCGAGTGGTGCACGAATGCCGGTGTTCTTCGTTGAGGGGATTGAATGTTTCAAAGTGGGTTAAATCTTGGTCTATGTTTGAATTGTCTGCTGTCACAGGCAGCAGGGAATGTTCGGTCAGGGAATTGGGCAAGGACTTCTGACTGCTTTTCTCTTGGCAGCAAGATTCTCTGGGAGGAGAAGAACATGAATTTGTGAACTTTTCCCTTGCGTGCTGTTCATTCTCTTCCTGATCATCACGTCTTTTATCAATGATCTCATCCTGTTGCTGGTCGTTTTCCCACCCAAAATGTCTGTTCGACTCCGCGCATTTTGCAGAGGACGTGCTTTGCGGAGTTTGGCTGTTATTGCGGACCCCAGAGTTTCTCTCCGTCGGGGAGAGGGAGTCTGGTGCCGATGTGCCTGGATGGGAGTTGTTAATTGCTGAAGCAGGCAAATACAAAGAAGGCACTTTCTCGTCCGTCGATTTCGGCCATTCTTCTGACTCTTTTTTAACTTGTGGCTGTTTTTCTAATTCCTGAAGACCATCATTATTTGTAATAACATTACTATTATCTCCGTTTTTGGTGTTGCTGCTATTTCTCTTTAAGTACTGATGATGACCAGTAAGGTGGGTTGAAACCTCAAGTCGTAAGAATGGTGACGATTGACCGAGTGTTGCGGAAGACAAAGAAAGAGAGGACGCTGTCTGCGAGGAACACGATATATCACTGTCAGAAATCGAGATCGGAACAGAGACACAGCTGGAAGGCACGAAAGCGGGCCCTGCTGAAGAGGACCTCATAACGGACAAAGCCAACGCCATCTTTTTATTTTCTTGTTCAATATCCGTTTCAAACCGATCCGAAATCGGACCTAGCGAATTGATTGGCCACTTATGACCGTTTCTTAGCAACGAAAGTGATGGAGACGTTGACACAGGCGAAGAAGATGACCTCGAAGAGGAAGGGGAGGTCAGAACGTCGCAGGCTTGTTCCATTTTTGGCAGTTGCTCAGGAGCAGAGAGAGAATGCCGCGAAGGCGTGTGCTGTGCCGGATGCTTGATACACGTCTTTACGCGCCTTTTTCGGCGACGGTAATTTCCGTTTTCAAACATCTCTTCACAGTTTAAATCTAACGTCCAATAGTTGCCTTTTCCAGGCTTTCCCTTTTCGCGCGGGACCTTCACGAAACAATCGTTGAGGCTCAAATTGTGGCGGATAGAGTTTTGCCAGCCTTGTTTGTTGTCGTGGTAATAGGGGAAGCGCTCCATGATGAACTGGTAAATACCATTCAGAGTTATCTTTCGGTCGGGGGCGTTCTTGATCGCCATCGCAATAAGGGCGATGTACGAATAAGGTGGCTTTTGGTGTTGTTCCCGTTTGTCCAGTTCGGAGAGGACGCTGAACGAGTAACCCTGTCCACCGAAGTTGGACGATGGGTAGCACATGCCGGGTAAGTACGCCCGCTGGTTCTCGAGATACTGTCCGTAAAGACTGGTAAGTGTGGAGCAAAGTGGGAGCGGTTCACCGAAGAAAGCGCCATTGGAGAGAGGCATCATGGGAAGGATTACCAAATTACTTGATTGCACTGAAAAAACAAGACGAGAAAAGATAAAGATGTGTGTTCAAAACAGACATAAAGACCTACCCCCACCCACTAAAAAAAAACAAAAAACAAAAAAACAAACTAACATTGATTTTAGTTGGGGTTTCTGAAACAGGGTGGGATTATAATTATTGAATGAAAAACTGTACGCCAAGAAAGTGACATTGGGGTACAAATATACGAAGATGAATTTACAAATACCGGGCACATGCATCACAGCCAAATTATTATTATTATTATTATTGGGTGAGAAACCGGCACAACCAACTAAGTGAGATTGGAATACAAATATACGAAGCCCAGTATAACCATCATGACAAGCAGTCTCATGAAAGCGTATCAGGCACATGGACAGCAGCCAAATGTGGGCGATGTGGTGACATGTTTTAATAAAAGCAGTACATTGCATTCAAGGTGGGTAACGATCTCCGATTGAGAGTATACTCATGTGTCTAGTTGGGACACCCAAGTCGCCTTGGCTGCCTTACCCTTAAAATTTAAAAGAAAAAAAAAACCCAACCCTCTCGACATCCGACGACGATGTTCCCCAATTAATTCCGCTCGTCTGCAGATTACACAATAAAGGACCTGATTATGGTCATCCAGTTGGCAATCAAATCTGTGGAACTTAAAGAGATGTTATTATTATTATTATTGATTCTTCTACGGCAAAATGGTTCCAAAAATGACGGCTGACAAAAATATTGCATAAATCCTCTGGTAAAATTATTAATCTCGCACTGAATCCAATCTAGAAAATATTCTTTAACTAAAAGAAAAGGCAGAGTGCTACCATAAAGAATAATCAATCGTTACTAATTTTGAAAGATCCGAGGTTGGATACCGGAAGTGACAAATAACAAATAAAAACAATATGGCTTTTATATTTTATCGATGTCTATATTTGTATCCGTTATAGGCAATAAAAACGTTTCATGTTTAAGCCCCAAATTCTGTATTTTGTTTTATACTTAAAATATGTTTCGGCGCTTAATCTGTACGCCTTGCATTCAAAATGAGGGGAAAATGGGACTGTTACTACTGAGGAATTACGGCAGGCGACAGCAACGGGCATTCATATGGCGTTCATAATTGCATAATCAGTGGCGTGTGTGTGCCGCTTCCGGCGGCCCTTCTCCAACAAAAATACAACATATTGCAGAGTGACTCGGTATTACACACACACACACACACACAATATATATATATATATATATATATATATATATATATATATATATACTGCCGTCCTCTAGCTACGCTAACTGCAATAGATGCACATTGCAATTGAGTTTTAACTACAAAATGCATTGCAAATGATTTTACTGTAGAAATGTCTAAGGAAGAAAAGACTATCTTTAGTCAGTCAAGAGAGAATAGGAGGTATATATATATATATATATATATATATATATATATATATATATATATATATATATATAATTTCTTAAAAAGGTAATGGATATTTAGAATAAATATAGCATTTTCAAAGAAGAAAATATATTATCTATCTATTACGTCGACTTTTAACCTTATTTGAACTGAGATGTAAGCTAAATTTATTTAGGAGAGATATTAGAATAATCCAAAACTTTTCCTAAGAGAAAAACACCTTGATTCGGATAAAAAGATGAATTCGGTAAATACACAAAAATAGAAAGAGGCGTAAGACAAGGACGTGTCTTCTCACCGGACTTATTCAACATTTACAGTGAAGCATTTCTGGGATAATTAGAAGCGTCTATAGGCTTTATTATTGGCAGACACAATATTATCATCATCAGATATGCAGATGACACAATTTTTATATCAGACATAGAAAAGAAACCGTAGGAACTTACACAGAAGATAGTAAAGGAAAGCGAGAAGAAAGGACTATTGTAAGAATACAGAACGTATAGTTGTTAGCAAGACGAACTACAAAAATGCGAATTATGAACTAAAATCAAGAAATCTGAACATTTAAATATATGGGAAGTGTTTTAATAGAATACGGAAAATATCCAAAATTATAGCGTATACAGATAGAAATATTAAAAAGAAGGCTTCAGCTTAAACTGACGCCAGGAGAAATAGAGGAATATTCTACTTAAAATAAGAGTGCATTTTATGTTTTGTTTGTCCATATTAGTTTCTTAAATAGTGTAAACAAACAATAAATACCATTAAATATTTTTGTTGTAAATTTTCAAGAACAAAAAAAAAAAAAAACAGTGTAAATTTACTCTCATCATATGTTTAGATTTCATTACAATTCTAATTCTTGCTTTTTAAAACAATAAACATTGCCGAGGGGGTGAAGGTGGTTTAAATAAAAGCGGTGTCATAGGAAAATTGTCCTTTTGACACTCCGCTCCGATTTTTTTTTCCGGACACGAAAGTGTATATTTGCCAAAAAATCTACGTTCGTTAAAAAAATATGTGAACGTTGCGAATGTTTAAGGCTGGACAACTGTGAAAGGTTTGCAGATTGTGAAGTCATATCATTTAGCTTTTAATGAAATGAACGGTAATTGTTTTTACAGTTGGAATATAACATGCTTTTCAAAATATGATGTACAATCCACTCTTTAAATCGACAGGAGCTGCGTCAAGTAAAAAAAAATAGTTTATTTCTATATAGTTTGATATAACATGGCAAAAGTACAGACACAGAAAAGATCAGATGAGGCACAGAATCAGAAAGTGAAATCGCTTTATAGAAGTTTATAATCGCTTGTGAAGTATGATAAATAATTTTTTCTAGCAATTTTATATTTGAACAAGAGTAGAGGTGTATCCCTTGTTTTCTATTTAGGATTGGGTTACCGGGTCCTTCTAAAATCAACAACTCTATACTTTGAACTTTTACTGGTTATTTCTTTCATTTCATCAATAGGAATAGATAGGTCCGCTTATCGTCTGGTTCACACCCTTCTCCGGCTTTGAACAGAAGTAGAGGTTTATCACTTGTTTTTTTTCTATTTAGGATTAGGTTAGCGGTTCCTTCTAAAATCTACTTCAACTTTATACTTCTAACGTCTCCGCCGAAACTATGAAATTTCATTTTACTATCTACTTTTTAACTTTTTTCTCAATAGGAGTGGATAGATCCGCCTGTCGCCCGGTTCACACTCCTCTCCGGTCTTTTGAACAGAAGTAGAGGTTTATCACTTGTTTACTATTTAGGATTGAGTTACCGGTTCCTTCTAAAAATCTAATTCAAATCTGTACTTCCAACGAATCCGCCTAAACTATGAAATTTTATTTACTATTTACTTTTTCCTTAACAGGAGTGGATAGATCCGTCTATTGCCCGGTTCACACTCCTCTCCGGTCTTTTGAACAGAAGTAGAGTTTTATTCCTTGTTTTCTATTTAGGACTGGGTTATAGGTTCCTTCTAAATGCTACTTCCACTCTACTCTGACCACTTCAACAAAAGTCTGAAATTTTATTTAGTATTTTTTTTTTATCTCGATAGGAGTAGATAGTTTCGCAGGAGTAGAGGTTTAACACTTGTTTTCTATTTAGGATTGGGTTTCTGGCTTTCTTTTTAAAATCTCATGCTATTTTACTCCCAATTGCAACTTGCGTCTTAGTAACATTGTCGCTTTGCTTGGGGTGAATTGATTAAAAAAAAAGAAGACAAGAATAAGAAGAGCGATCATAAGATCAAATTAAGAAAAGGTGTTTGGCATTTTGCTCGCTGGTAAAACATCGACTTTTGGATCAGGCTGTAAGTACTTCGATATGCTTCGGAAAGTTCTTAAACGAATTGTCCAAGTCAATTCTTTATCTTTGGGTATAAATGTGCTGTTATATATTCATATGTGTAAAGATCTATTTTGATTTCAATTATGTTTTTTTTTTCTTTTTATGTGCCATGTCCTTTCAGGACGTAGGCGATCATAGCTCTCTACCTGCCTCTGTCAACTTGCAGCTCTCAGCAAGCTCCTCCCCTCTGCTTTCTCACCCAGATCACATTCTGTCACCCACCTGCTCAAGCCTGTCAAGTACGTCACGCGCTGCTTTCTCTTTTCCTCTATTCGACCCGTGAGTATCAGCTTCTCCAGGCCTTTCCTCATTATGTGTCCCAGAAACTTCAGCTGCCTCTTCCTGATATTAAGTATAAACCTCCTCCTTTTTTGTAACGTATCGTTCCATGATATCCTCAACATCCTTCTGTAGAACGGCATCTCAGTCGCCTCGAGTCTCTTCTTCATCTTTGAGGAAATCGTCCAACATTCGCTGCCGTGAAGGACAGATGTCACGTAACAGCTCAGTATTTTTTTTCTTCGTTGCTTCCTCCCCCAGACCACGTTCTCTCATCCGCCAGGTATGTCATGCGTTGTTTTCCCTTGTCTCTCTTTCCCTCTATTCGACTCGTGAGTATCAGATCCTCCAGGCCCTCCTACCTCATTATATTTCCCAGAAACTTTAGCTGCCTCTCCCTGATGTTAAGTATAAGCCTCCTTCTTGTTTGTAACTTATCTAAGACCTCATCGTTTGTGACATGCTTGGTCCATGATATCCTTAGCATCCTTCTGTAGAAGATTCTTGTAAAAACATTAAAACAATATGTGCTCGGTGTTTGAAAAACTGTGATCTCAGGTTAAAACATCGCTGATAGGAAAACCTATAGGTAAGTTGAATTTGTAAGTGAAAGATTATTATTATTAATATTATTGGAAAGGAAGAAAAAAATTGGTTATTATAAAGTCGACAATTTTTTATGATTTTGTTTGTCGTAAGAAGAAGGTTTACATTTAATTTAGTGACGTAGTTCTTAAAAAAATAGACGTTTGTCAGATGATACATTCGTATATAACGGTTTAACAACTAAGCTAGCCATGCCTTTATTTTTTTATATGTTTGTTTTTCAACACATGAAGTGCTATCCCCAAATTCCTTGAATTGGACCGTAAAAATCTACTTACTCTAACACCTAATGAAGCTCCCCACTTCGTCTGTGT